ACCCACATGGCAGCTACGAACAACCCTTAACTCCAGTTCCAGGGGAATCCGAAGCCCTCTTCTGACCTCTGCGGCATTGCATGACACTGGTGCACTCACATACATGCAGGCAACACACTCATACACATAAAAATAAAAATAACAAAAAAATATATAACCATAAATCACACTTATATTCCCCAATTTCATTTCTAATACTGGTGACCCCCACCATGTTGTGTTTACTTGGCATTGTTTTGCAACATAGCAAAGGATTTTTAAGGAGGATGAGCCGTGTATTGAGTGGAGACTCGAGAACAGCTATGAGGTTGATAAGGCATCATTCTGTATCACTCTTCCAGCCTGCATGTTTTTTAACATTTAAAAGTGTTTTCGGAGGTTACGGTATGGGATGATACCTGATTTATGAAGAGAAGGTAGAAGTCGGGAAGACACAGTTCACTGCAACACTGTGCTTCAGAGAAACACAGTCAGAGCCATTTGAGTTCCAGAGAAAATTAACTGCATGTTTAACTTTTTAAAAAAATTATTTATTTTTGCCAGGCCTGGTGGCTCAGGCCTGTTGTCCCATCACTTGGGATGCAGAGGCAGGCGAATATCTGTGTGTTTAAGTCCAGCCTGGTCCCCATAGTGAGTTCCAGGCCAGCTGGGGCTGCAGGGAGACCCTGTCTCAAAAAGACCCCCCAAAAAAAATTCATTTATTTTTTTATTTTTGTGTGTGTGTGTGTGTTGGCAAGCATCCTTACTTGCTGAGCAACCTTGCTGACTCTTAACTATTTTCTTCTTCCAAGTGGGAGCTTGGTTAAACTTGGTTAAAGCTTAGTGCTTTGTATATACAAAGGTTGAACAATAAAAGATATTTACCCCCAGCTAGTTTGGTTAATTATTGCTGTCTGTTTAGTGATAAGTGATGGGATTCTGCAGGATGGGAGAGAAGAAAGCAATGAATGGAGTTGTGAGAGAGCAGAGAGCTGAGCAAGAGGTCTGTGTAAGTGGATTTGGGGGGAGTAGGTGTCCCAGCAGACAGAAGGTGGATGTAGACACACATACATAGAAGTAAACAGAGATGGAGATACAGAGAGAGCAGTGAGCTAGACATACGGAGATGGAGAAACAGAGAGTGGCAGAGAGGCACAGAATGATATGGAGCCCACAGAAGCAAGCAGTAGCAGGAGGCAGGAGAGCTGCAGGGAGAGAAGTGGGAGGCAGGGGAGCCGCTCTGAGGTCTTGTGTTCAGGCTGTGGCTGGGAACAACCACCTATACTCCCTGTTGGTCGGTGACAAACCCATCCTAAGCAAACCTGTTATTGCGTACTGTTTAGTGAGTGGAAAGTCATTTGAGAGAGAAGTAGCAGATTTACCCTGATGGGTTAAACTTCTTTAGTTTCCATCCAGTCCATACTTTCGGATCCTGAACTTGGGTCCTAAGCTGCATTAATCATTACTTAATATTAATGGAAATGAGGTTATCCTGTTGCAAGTCCCAGTTTCAATCAGTAAGTAATTATGAAAATCAGTCTTAAAGATGCTGTGAAAGGGTGTTGCTTTCCCAGGCAATAATTAAACCTCCCTGGGTGGTTGATTTTTTTTTTCTTCTTTGTGTGCATATGTGTGTGTGTGTGTGTGTGTGTGTGTGTGTGTGTGTGTTTCTCCCCTGAACTTTCTGCAGGTGAAGAAAGTTAGCAAGTCACTGACTGAGGGCTCATTAGTTGAAGCTGGCAGAAGTCCCATCAACAGGAGAAGGAATGAACAGCATGTTTTAGAGATGAAGATGAGAAACATGAAAGATCAGCTCCTTTCTTCTAGCCCAAAGGGAAAGCCTGTGAATAGGAGCCCAAAAACCCCAGTTGTTTTTATTGAAGGATTTGTATGTGTGTGTGCCTGTGTGTGCGTGTGTGTGTGCATGCGTGCGTGTGTGCGTGCGTGTGTGCGTGTGCGTGTGTGTGTGTGTGTGTGTGTACATACCATGCTCTGGCATGTGTGTGAAGATCAGAAGACAACTTTGTGGAGCTGGTTCTCTCCTTTCACCTTTTTGTGGACTTTGGGGACTAAACTCTGGTGACCAAGCACCTTTACCCACTGTCTTCCTATAGAATAAATTTTAAGCCAGACCTCAAAATGTGTAGCTAAATCTACATCTTTAATGAGAAACAACTAAATATGCTTTCTTATTTTTGTTTCGGGCAAGTAAGCAGTTGCTCATAAATAGCAGTACATGGAGGAAGAGGAGGAGGAGGAAGAGGGGGAGAAGAAAGAGGAGGAGGTGAAGGAGGAGGAGGAACAGGAAGAGGAAAAGGAGAAGGAAGAGGAGGAGGAGAAGGAAGAATAGGAGGAGGAAAAGGAAGAAGAGGAAGAGGAGGAAGAGAAAGAAGAGGAGAAGAAAGAGGAAGAAGAAGAGGAGGAAGAGGAGGGGAGGAGGAGGAAGAGGAGGACTATAATTCTAATAAAATGTTATGGAAGCTGTGTATTACTAGAGAAGTTTTTCTTAAAGATTTACAGGCACCGTGTCCTACTGTCCTCTGCTGTAGTCCAGATCTACAAAGGGAGCCTCTTACTGGAAGTTCAGGGCAAGGCTGTTTTGAAAGTCTTGAAGCAGGAGGCCTTCAAGGACCAGATGCAGAAGTAGGCTTTGTTCTTCAGCTCTGCCTGCTCAAGTTACAAGCTTATCTGCAGATGCTGAAAAGGAGTATCCTTTTGTACACACCATAGATAGGCACACATTTTGGAGGGAAGCAGCATTACCAGATAGAAGACAGGGCATCTAGTTAGAAAAAAAATTACTTGTTTGTTTATGACTCAGATTTAACTGAACATCTTTGTATTTGCTAACTTGGCCACCCAGACAGAGTAACCTCCATTGGATATTGCCAAACCCTAAACATCTCAGCTGAGCAGTAATTAGACCTTTCATCCCCAAGGCTGTGACAGATTCATCTACTCTGGGATCCTTGTATCTGTTAGAAGGTAGAGTACATGATACTGGAAGTAACTGTAAGGAAGGAAAGTAACTTTGTGGATCTGGTACTGTTAGAGATGTAAATGGAGTTGTAGACTAGGCAATAAAACTAGCCTTTAAAACCAATCAGATTGCATTTCCAACTTTGGGAAAAGTCAATGGCTGTTGGTTCATGGGTGATAAATACAAGGGTGCTTGAATTTAAACACCAGCTGTTTTCTTAGGGTATATTTTTATTTTACCATGTTCCCAAATGATTTGTGTGTGTGTGTGTTGTTGTTGTTGCACACATGTGCATGAGTACATGTTAAGGTCAGAAGGCAAACTTCAGGTGTTGTTCCCCAGACACTGTCTACCTCTTTTTTAAGACAAGGTCTCACTGGTCAGGAACTTGGCCAGGTAGGCTAGGCTAGCAGGCCAGGGATCTTCTTGTATTTGCCTCTGCAGAACTGGGATTATGAGAGTGCATTTTTCCCCCCCTAAGTCTGAGGATGGAATGCAGAACTCAGATCCTTATGCTTGCAAGACAAGTACTTTACTGACTGAGTCATCTCCAGAGCCCTTTAAGTGATTCTCAATGCACAAACAAGATGTGTTTAGTGAAGAGTTGAAAACCATATATATAAATATTTATATATAAATATATATTTGTTCTTTTGAGGAACTACCTTTCAAAGATCTCAAAAATAAAAATTGGGAATGATAAGTTTGTCTTTTGTTTGATTTTGAGGTAGAAAATCTGAGGAGTTAAAAGCCCCAGCTCTCCTTCCTGAATGACTTCAGCACACCTTTGTGAGTACTAATGTTCTACATCCTAAATTCCATTTTGAGTCTGAGTCTTTGGTTTTCTGAAGTTGCGCTAATTTTTGTATTCCCAGACTTACTTTGATTCATGTTTTTGAAATCTATTTTCCCTATGCGAATTGTGTAGGACTTGACCAAGGAAAATTTAAAAATGGGTTTGATTTCTTACATTGCTCCTGCAATTTATAATATGAGTACATCATAGCTTGATTTTATATGTGTACATATCGCTAGATATCTTTTTCTTTTTTATCAGGTATTTATAGTGGAAAGTTTAAGACAAATGTGAGATGACAGGACTTAGGTGCATGGCATGTCCTGCACTTTTACAAGGCTCCCAGATCCCTTTTCTACATAGTGAACTGTCACAGCAATGATCAGTAGCTGAGCATGCCTCTTGCATTGCTGACCAGCTGCCAAAACAATTGCTTAAGTAAATGGTTCCCGAGGCCAGTGACCATTAACAGCCCCCTATGCAACTGACTATGAGCTGAGATTCTGAAGATCTGTCTGTACTTACTGAAATTTGTGATAGAAAGCTCAGCTGCCTGGTCTTTTGGATTTGGGATGATGGCACTTCTCTTCCATCTGTTTCTAACAGAGCAGAGCCTCTGAACTGTCTAAGTGTTCACGAAAGATCACATCAGGATCAGTAGGTAGCGACCCATATTCCCTCCAACTAGAACCTAGTAGTAGAGTCTAAGACTGGCCTAAAACTCTAACACCACCTTCAGTGAGTCAAGAAATGAGATTTAACTATTGAATGTAGGTAGCCATGCCAATCCTGGGCCTTCTGGAACTCTCAAAAGCTCTATGTGTGGCACTAGAGGCAAAGCTTAGTTGAGGATGGAGGACTCCTTTTACAGTGGACTGATGTTCAGGGATACAGATGTTAGACTCATAGACTGTTAAACACATCTTTCCTTCCTACTGCAAGTAGAAGTAGCACTTAGAGTAAGCATGCACCTGCTGACCCAGCATCACCCCCTTACAAGCTCAGTGGCCTAGCACTATACACTTAATGAGCAGGGCCTAGGGCTTGGCTGGAAGCTGTTTCCTAGGTTTATGCAGACTTCATAGAGCATGCTTAGTTATGGGAGTGGCCCCTCCATTGTTAGCGAAGAACAATTTACCTTCATAGTGTTCAGTTTCACTTTTCTGTTCTAAGGAAAATTGTTTTACCAATTTACTTCTTACTGAGAAAAGACTGGTTATTGATGTCTGACAGGGCCTGCTGGGGAGGACTGGGCTATGGGGAAGTGTGTCATATACCCTGTCATTTGAGCCTCAGTCTGACTCCAGAATCCTGCTCATAGCAGTTAACGCTAGGCAGGCGGTGTGCTTCTGAGCTGAGGCCATATTGCTGTTCTTGAATTTGATGGATTGTTTTTCCTCTTTCATATTTAGTATTCCAGAACAACTCTACAGTTCTTCCTAAGGCAAGTCCCAGGTTGATATCCTTTGACTTTGGCAGAAGAAAGGTCAGGATGGAAGCAGAGAGGTGCTCTGCTGCTGAGGGTGGAACATTGACCCTCAGAAGAGGTTAGGCCTATTTCTCCTAGGCACACCCTGTAGTGGGCAGTGGGTGCTGACTGGGCTAGAGAACCTTCTAGGAGGTTTACTTCAACACAGAGCTGATTGATCAACAAATCTTGTTCTTAGATGTTTATTTCTTCCTCCTGATCTAACTCCCACCAGAATTTAGCAACCAAGTCATATTATTATAGACATTTTAAGATGGTGACATTATAAAAGTTACTATAAAGGGCTAAATGAATTAATCTCTTTAAAAATATTGTTTTATTCTTGAAACTTTCATGCATGTATACAATGAAACATGACCATATCCACCCTCTATTTCTTCCCCAACACAGCCCCTTCCCAACTTCAAGTCTCTCTCTCTCTCTCTTTTTTTTTTTTGATAACCCGCTGTGTTGCTTTGAATGAAAAATGTCCCCCATGTGAACCCAGTTGGTGGTGCTGTTCAGGAAGGTACAGGACCTTTAGGAGATGGAGGCCTACTGGAGGAAGTGCATCACCAGGGACTGGTGTTGATGATTTATAGCCTTGTCCTACTTCCTGTTCTCGCTCTCTGCTTCCTGTGTGCAGATGATGCGATCAGCCAGTTACCTCCTGCTGCTATGTCTTATGTGCCATGATGGACTCAATCCCTCTGGAACTGTAAGCCCCAATAGATCCTCTCTTCCTTAAGTTGCTTTTGGTCATGGTATTTTATCACAACAATAGAAAAGTACCTAATATACCCCTTAAGCCCAATTAGTGCTGCCCAGAAGTATATGGGTATAGGGCTATCCACTGGAATATGGGAAATCTACCAGTGGCTACAAATTGAATGAATTGAATTAATCTTTGAATTTACTAATATTTTAGAATCTTCTTTAAAAAAACCCATTCTTATGGTGGCACACATTGTAATACTAATACTCCAGAAACAGGTAGGAAAACCATGTGCTGGAGGTCAACCTTGACTACATAGTAAGTAAATAAATAAATTTAAAGAATACCCTTGCAGGCCAGGCTGTGAGCACCCCAGGATTCAGTATGAAAGAGGCAAAACAATCTACTTCCTTTCTGTGCTAACCCCAGCTTCTCCTGCACCTGTGGCATTTGAAATCCATATGCCATTGTTTGAATCAACCTTGTGGATACTGTACTCTTGCAGGGCAGAGCTGTGTCTTCAGATAGTACACGCAGTCAAGCCTCTTACTTAAAAATCACCCCTCTTGTTAGGTCTGCTGCTTTTAGAAGCTCCCCTTGATTTGAAGTTTATTTGCCTGCCACTAGCAAAAGAGGTATACTTCATGCTTGCCAGTTACTGAGCTTTTCATTATCACCCAAACAGGAGGATGTTGGAAGCCCTCAAAGGAACAGCTACTGGTCCTTTGTCTCTAATGTACTTGTCTTATGCACCCCATGAAAGTGCTGTGTGCTGAGTGACAGTGCTGTGTGCTGAGTGATTGCACAGCCCCAAAGCTGGCAATGAAAAGGAATTGGATTGGAATAGGGAGGGAATACCTAGTGCCATCATGCAGGTCTTGGTGCATTGTTTCACTGCACAAGGGAGGTAGGTCCAGGGTTAAGTGTGGCCAAAATCTAACTCACGTGCTGCCTGGCAGAGGTTCTACTGCCCAGGAGAGAAGGAAGCATTTTAAACCACTCATACAGGTTCTTCCCACTCTCAAGCTGTGCACATGGCAAGGCCCATCAGCCTAGAGCCATACCTTCTCTAATTTGCTTCAGCTGCTGTGTGGGCACGTAAACCCTGCAATGCTGCTGCCGTGGGTTGTCAGTGTAGCTGGATTTTTATTTGAATTCCAAGTCCATTTTGGCCTCTATTAGGAGATTCTGCTTTCCTATTCAAAGAAAGGAAAGAATATTTTTAACATAAATAAACATAAGTGAGTTACTTTAAAAACAGTAGGTAAATGAGCAATGTTGGACTACTCTTGTTGCTTGTGTAAAACCCATGTTTTCACTGACATAGACTACATTTACAAAACATGGGTTTAGAATGTGAGAGGAAGCTCACGCATGCTATAGCACACATGTAGAGGTCAGAGGGCGAACTTGGATGTTGGCCCTCACCTTTCACCTTGTTTGAGACAGGGTCTTGGCACTGTGTGTGCCAGGCTAGCTGCCCTGCAAGCTTCCTGGGAGTCTACTATCTCTGCCCCCCATCTTGCACTGGGATTATAGGCCATGCCCTGCTTTGAATGTGTTCTGGGGATTCGAACTCACAGTCTTATGCAGGCGCTTTACCCACTTTAGCCCCAGAAACATGGATGCAGTGTAAAGAGACCCAGTATGAGGTTGAATTATTGTTGAGGTAGAAAGGCCTTCATAGAAATATAGGTTTCTGACAATTTCTTTAGAAGTAAATGAAAGGAAATGTTAGTGCTATGGTGGAGGAGTCAGGTTCAGAAGGACAAGGGAGAGTGCCTGTCCTTGTGTTCATGCACACTTGTCCCTTAAACTCACACTGAGAAATCAGCTTTAGTTTCTTAGGGTAGGACTAGAAGATGTAGGGGAGAGCTATTTAAAAATAAGCAGTTACCCCCACATTCTTTTCTGTAGGGCAGAGGGAGCTAGTTGAAGCCAGAAAGTTCCAGAAGGGAAACACATCATTATTTGGTCCTTGACTCTGGAGCATCCTTTCTGTGTCCCTCTGTCCTTCATTCTTTCTCTTACTCCATCTTTCTGTCTCACACTTGCATGGACACATGCCAATCAACCTATCAGTGATTCACATCTGCAGTCTGCATTGAACAGTTTCCTGCAGAAGCGGTCTAGTGTGGGCACAGGCTTGGCCCAGACACAGGGAACTCAGCATTGTTCTCAGTTGTCTTGAGGAAAATAATACATTCTGCAGAGGAGATCACTGCAATAAAAGCATTGTTTGGTATCCAGTGGCAACATCCATTTATGTTTACATAATAAAAAAAATGTCACCTGATATAATCTCAGAAAACTGCTGCCACAGGCCTTTGAAACAATTAGTTTAGACTATTTCACAGAGCATTAAGCTTAACAATGTCAGTCTGTTCCTAAATGCTGTTCAAGAAATTTTTGCAATGAGGCCAAAATTTAAGTTGGCAAAAGAGCGACCTCAAATAGGCAGTCTCGTCTTATTATTTTTAACAGCTTTTTGAGGAATAATTGACCTATAATAAACTGACATATTTAAAGCATACAATTTGCAAAGTTTGGATACCCATTTATCTGTGAAACTATCAGCACAATCAAGACAATAAACACATTTATTGCCCCAAATGTTTTCATGTTTCCTTGGAAAGCCTTGTCTCCCATCCCTGTCTGTGCGTCCTCCTTTCCTGGCAGGGAACTGCATCTTGTCATTGTAGATTACTCTGTATGTTCTAGAATCTTAAGAGCATAGTGTAAGCTCTTCTTGCCTGGCTTCCTTTACTCCACGTAATTACTGTGAACTTCCTGCCTGTCGTCCGGTTGTA